AAATATCAAATACTGCTAAAAATGAACACATTGCGTGCTCAGTAATCAATATGTAATCACAGCAGTTATTTTAGAAATCGATATTTAATCGTGTTATTTACTCAGAAATCAATATGAAATCGTGTATAGTTTTAAAATGAATATAGACTACATGACAATGCTAGCCTCCCATGTGATCGTTTCTGTCTAAAAATTTATAAAAAGATATCGTTACAGAAATGCCTGCATAGGACGTAATAATCCAGTTTCGAATTCTCCAATGCTCTGTGTTAGCCTCATTTGTGCGCAAAATATTCCTAATTGTGAGAATAAAAGTGTGAGATTTCAAATCAATTCTGTTGTCTTTCTTTTGGAATTCCATGCGTTATCTCGGGCTATCAATAAAACAAAGGAATATGTTGCTTGGTTTTGAGGCTAAMACAGAGCAAACCAGAACTCGAAATTGGAGTATTTAGGGCTATTTAAGTGTTTGTCTGAATTGAGCTCTGAGCAGCCCTGCCGAGGTTCCAGCCGGACAGGCAGTTTAACTCAAATATGCTTTTTTTTTTTTGTAGTCTGTAGCACCTAGCACCCATTTTTTGGTGGGAATGGGGGTGGGGGTTGTGTGCATGTGACAGAGGTAGATTACATATTTACAAAAGATGCAAATTAGTCGTTTGGTATGAGAAAGCATGTTGAAGAAGTACACTAKAGATATTAAATTACAATATAATTGTAAATTAGAGTAATCCTGCTAAAAAATATTTTTTGTATTTTTTTATGAACTGCGTGCCTGGTGTGACTTTGGCATTAGTGTCCTAACTGATATTGTTAATTAGAATAAGCTAAATTCAAAGTTGTATTTTTATATTTTCTTTATCTGGAACTGTGTGCCAGTAGCACTTTTGGCAGTAGTGTGCTAGTTATTGTAAATTAGAATAAGCTCACTAAAAAAAGGTTAATTTTTTTAAAGGTTTATGTATAGAGGCTCTTTTTACATAACATTTTATAAAAAAAAACCTTTGCTATTTTTATAATACATTTGTTTGTTTGAGAGTCATTAGATGATAAATACTTAATAATAAAATATCAGCATTAGACTAGATGATTTTGTCGTATCTTTTTTGCGTTTTTTGGCGTTTTTCTTTTTCGATCAACAAAGGAATATTAGACCTTGTGCCAAAAAATGTGTAATGAATAAATACCGATTTTAGTGACGGATTCATGGGGTTTTATTCGGTGTGCGGGCATTTGAACCCTTTAGTCCCCGAACACACACATCGGCAAGTGCCTCCAGAGGCGGATCCAGTGCTTTTTTTATGTATGACGTCATCCCATGGAAAATATGTTATATCCGCCCCTGTATATAGATTTATAGATTGAGGACTTGAAGCCTTATAAGGAAGTAGTTGAAGCGTAATAACCCAACACAACCAAACCGATGTCCATTTTCAAACGTCGTATCTCACATGTTCTATTTCGATACTTGTGTGATAACAATAAGCTAAAACGAAAAAGATGCAATATTTGCTCAGAATTCGAGATTCGTGAGATTAGCTGTATGAAACGAGCCTTTGCCAGCAAGCTAAAGTGGTTTCAATCTCCAGCATTAGGGAACACCATATAATGTCAATTACTCAATGGGAGCAMAAGATAACAATCRGACTGAAGTCTTTTCTGGTACATCTCAGATTATGAAATCACTCAACTTCACGGCCTTACGCCCTTCAAGTGCCGAGAACATGTCAAAATGTTTTTTTTTCTATTATTTATTTAGTATAATAAAATATTTAGTGATTGATATTGTCAAAGGCTTAACAATATGACAAAACGTCAGTTAGACGTGTGTTTTTAAGTATTATTGCCTCTACTGAAAGGGACATCTCAAACGCCTAAAGATAATGAATTTTCGAATTTTGTCTTTACGGGAGTCCTCAATAACGGCATAACTCGATTGACTATTAACAACACAGGGTACAGGAAACAAAAAAATAACAAATCAGGATTTGAATATTTTTTTTACAGTGAAAATCTGGCATAGTTTTTATATGTAATTTACTGAAAATAAAAATTTGATTTTGTCAGTTTTATTTATCTTGGCAGTTTGTGGCTTATTTATTCTTTATTTCCAAGGCTCGCTTCCTGGCAGCTTGGCAATCCTCATGTTTTCAAACACGTCCATYCAGCAGCCAATAAAAACCCGTCAATTCYCCATATAAATTATTCATACATGTTATACAAAATATTCCAACCACCTGCCAAAACAGTGTATGAATTGAACAAGGGCGCGAAAGCGGCGTCTATTGCGAGACATATTCTCTACTTTGAGTGCGAAAAACTAGAATCCAGTTCCACAATGCTGACTGTGTCCTTGGTCGGGAAGAAATTCAGTTGTAGCATACAACTTCAAGTAAGTAATGGCTTTGGCACCGGGAAATTGTATAGTTTAAAATGTCGCTTCTTAATTGCCTGTAGATATCAATGGAAAAMTAGAATATTAAACCGGTTTGAGGTATATTCCTTCTCAAAACATAGAATATATATGGACATGTATTAGGGTTTATGCTTTTTTTACCATTTCAAATGTTGCGCCCTGTGTAAACTGTCTTTGACAGACCTTGGTACTTCAAACGAACGCTTCTACATTACTTTTAAAATGTATAATGCAAATTTATTGCTGTGACAAATATTCCTAAGAGGAACTATGGTAATTTATTGAATGTTTAGATTTGAGTATTTCAATTCTATCTATGTAATCTTTATCGTAAAACTACAGTCGGAAAGTGTGCTTTTTTCAGAACGTCAAAAGCTGCTATTTTTCGCGATGACAARCCATATGGATGTTTTCTTTTTTCTCTCCTGTAAGTCGTAAGTCAACCCAGTATGCGACTATCCAGCCAACTCATTCAAATTTTAATCATATTCACTCTAGGATATTGAACAGATCATAAATGATTGTTTTAAGTCTTGCACGAAGGAAAATGACCATTGTTCCGTTATTCGTTTTTCAATGGTGAATATAAATGTACATGAATTTGTACAGAAAGAAATTAGAGATAAAAGATATGAGAAAACGGAAGAAATTTGCTTTCAAAGTGAATTTTGAATCAAATAAGAGAGAGTTATGAATTATTTCGACTGACGTAAATCGTTTAACCTTTCTTGTATTTTTTGTAGTTAATCGAAGGATAATTTGTCGTTTTTCCATCTCTTAGTAATTTTCCATGGATGGTACCTAGTTTTGACAAAAAAATCAATATCTCTAGTCTCCGAGATCGACTAATTTAGATTCCAACTGTACATTATTGTGTTACAGTATTCATTCAGTAGCTTTCAGTCAAATATTTGATTTTTATAAGGCAGAAAATGCGGATTACAAAAAAAGATGAAAAATACACTGAATTTGAAAATATAATATTTAGTTTTCCATTTCCTTGTTTATGTTCTTAAAGGGATAGCTTGTCATCGAAACGAATTGTTAATTATCGAGGTTTTATATTCTAAAATTCAACCGATTAAAACTAATCAGCGTTACTAATGTTTAAAATGAAAAATTCCTTTTTTCTTTCTTTTTATTATTTTCTACTTTTTTTCTTTCTTTACTATATTCGCTTATCGTCCATACTACCTGGTAATGACACCATAGAGCTTGCATTCACCCTACTAGAATACTCTTCTCTGTGGTATACCCGACTCAMACTGTGAAGTTCTTACAGGAAAATAGGCAAACGGAAATCTTCATCGGTTGTTTTGACGCGTTATAGCTTTGTAAGTGGMTAAAATTTTATTCAAAATTCAAAAMGTGAAGATAAAACATCATTTTAAATAGTGATTTAGTATATTTCAAGCTGATTCTTCATTAAAGAAGCAATTTACCTTTACAATGARAACCTGTTCATAAAAATTGTCAGGCGGTTAGTTTGAATGTTTATTATCTTAGCGTGTGGGATATTTTGCTAGAAGAAAAGGAACAAGTTAATAACAATAATTGAATTCTCTCTTTCTAATATTAATTAATAAGCCTTTTTTTGCGTAAAACCTATTTCCATGTTTTACAATAACATCAACTGCCAATCAGGCAAGCAATCGTCACTAAAAGAATGCGCAAACGAAGAAATGAATTGGTGGGAAAAATAGAAAATAGTGTTTCCGTAAGTAGTATAGCACTGTTAGCAAAGGCCACATGGTACGTCTTTTCTTATTTTTAAAGCTGGTAGCAGTAATATCAAAAAAAAAAAAACAGCAGCAAATTCCACATGTAATTAGACATGTTTTCTTGCAATTTTTTTTCAAACTATATATATTTTTACTGTCCTGATTGACTTACTTAATTAACTCTGCATGTAGCTTTTGCCAAACCATAAGCAATTGTTTCTCATTAACATCCCGTTGATCAAAATCTTTATATTAAAACAATGTTGACATTTCTCCAAAATGAAATAAGATATGTAATCTTTCTGAATTTAAAGCAAATATGTATGCTTAAATTTGGCATGAAATGTTTGCTTACGAAAATTTCTCGAAATACAATAATAATATTCAGAAGAGGAGTGAAGGTATCCTTTAGCAGCATTATTGAGATCAGATAAAGAATGTATACCCAAAATGTAGCCAATATTCAGGTTATAATAATAGTTATACATTTACAAGATGAAGAAATTGCGAGGAAATTCGTCTTTACATCGTGAATGTTCTTTCTATTTTGATG